AGCTGTGCCGTGGGCGAGACTTTGACGAACGACCAGTTCATGGCCTCGTCCTTCTTGGCAAAGACCTCGAGCGTGTGCGTCAGGGAGCCCGTGCCGGCGAAAGGATTGTTCGAGCTGAAACGGTTGGAGGCCGGAGCGCCCGAAGGGGCAAAGGGGCGCATCGGGGGCTGAAGGCCACCGTTGCCACCTGTCATGTTTGGCGCGAGAAAGTTGCCGTGGGGCGACTTGGAGAGGCCGGAGCCGGAGGAGGAGGGACGGCCGTGTTGGGCGAAGGAGGCGCGCGGAGGCGGAGGCGGTAGACCGGAGAGCTGGTCGGCAAACTCAGCGTCGAGCACGTAGACGGCTCGCAGGTTCGTGAGGCCGTTGGCGAGGATGGAGGAGGCGAGATAGGTGTAGTAGGTTTGCGTGATGCCGGAGTATGGGCTTGCTTGCGGATCGCTGCTGATTTCGTAGCGCAACGTCTCCAACGACCTCGAGGCCAGCCTCTGCGTCTGGGGGCCGCTCTTGAAGGGACCATCCACCCTGCACTGCACGATGAGGGACTTGAGAGATGTGGCAAGCGAGACAACCTCATGCAGGGTGGGAATCTCGACGCCCGTCTTGTTGAGGGCGAGCACGGTGAGAGCGGCGCGTGTCTCGGGATAGCTCAGATAGTCAACCAAGCCGGCAGCCGTGACATTGGGCGTTTTGGTGAGCACGAGCTGCTCGAGCGCGGGGAACGGTGGCAACATCTCGTTGTAGACGAAGACGTCATCACTGAAGGCCCTGCTGTCGGTCACCTTGAGCGCGTGCAGGTTGGGCAGCGCGGCGAGAACGTGGCGCAAGACGTTGGGATCCATGTTGATTTTGATCAGTTCCAGGACCTCGAGATGCCTCCAAATGGTCCCCTGGGCCAGCTTGGCCAGACTTCGCTCTGCCCCGCCGCGGTATGTCATTTTCAGCAGCTTGGGACATCGTGCCTCGACCTCGAGGCGCAGTGTTGCGTAGGCAGAGTCGTCGGAGAAGAGGCCTTCGGGAAGATCGACATAGAGCAGATTGGGCAGGACGGCGATTGTACGAGCGAGATCGGCCTGGGCCGCTTCGCGCAGCATGTAGGGCGTCTTGAAGTAGCGAACACGGGCGCCGAGACGGGTCGGGTCGTCACGGAGGGTGCGGCACAGAAGCTTCAGGCGGGCGCTCGGCGTGTCCTCGGGTTCGCCGTTGCGGTCAAACTTGGTGCGGCGCTTGCGCAGTTCGGCGAGGTAGGCTTCACGAGCGCAATAGTGAACGGGATCAATCCGAATGCTGTGGTATCTGATGTGGGGGGGCAAACCCGCCCCCCCCAAAGTCAGCCAGAAGGACCACGGCATGGTGCGGCGACAGAAAGACACGGTTGGACTTACAGAACCTTCCTGGCAGCGGCACGCCACTGCTTGCAGACCTGGACGCAGTGGGCGAGGTCCCTGAGGTCGCAGAGCATGCACCCATCTTCGAGAGCGCTCTGCTCGCACGTCTCGTAGGACTCGTCCTGGGCTTGAGGGCACACGGCGACGAAGATGCGCTCGAGGACGGTGGAGGGGAGCTCAGCGATCAGACGGGCGGAGAAGCGCGTGGGTGGAAAGAGGGGCGCCCGAGACTTGGCATCGAGGCCGTCCTCGCCGTTGGGATAGGACGGGCCCCAAGGAACGCCGATGGCATCCTTCTTCTTGTCCTTGTTGCGCCGGAAGCTGAAGATGCCCATTTTGCGAAAGGGAAGCCTCATGTTGCGGAGGAGCAGGAGGAGGAGAAGAAGAGAGGGGGAAGGATAGTTGAAGGACGAAATTCGGGCAATCGGGCCTAGTCGTGGTGGTGCTCAGCACCCTGGGGTTGGGGTAAGGTGGTCAGTGGTCAGTGGTCAGTGGTCCACAGTGACCCAGGGTTAGGGGGAGGGGAGGGGGGCCAGGGGGGCCAGGGGGGGGGGCTTGTCAGCCCAAAAGGAGGACGTCCAGAGGCACGCAGACGGCCGATTGGGCGGGTGGGCGCGTTCTTCGGGCCTAGGATCGTCGGATGTCTGACCGTAGTGGCGGCTGCGAGCTGTAGTCTGAGGCAGGGTGTCTCAGTAGCTCTTTGTGCTGAGACGGTGTTAGAGCTTCTGGCATTCCACCAAGCTCCCAACTTTGTTTGCACGCGGGGCCCCTATTTTCCCCCTTTGCTTGCCGATGGTGTGTGCCGCCTCTCAAAGGGATGGCAGACGAAGCCTTAAAAGGAGGGGCGACGCTGCGATTGGGGCCAGGAATGGAGAGCTGCGAAAGGGAACTGGACGAAGGATCTTCAGGGGTCCGAATGGCAGGCAGTCAGGCAGGCAGGCAGGCAGGCAAGAGGTCTTCCTCGACGTGATAGGAGGGTCGTGTAGGATCGGTGCATTGGATGGTGGTGGATTGTCTCGCGTCGCGTGTTGGCGATCCTTCGACCTCTAGAAGCGCGTACAGTACTGGTGGCCGCCCTACCGTTGCACTGGTGCTGATTCCGTGCTCATTGGCCGCATCAAGCTTCCGAGCCACATAGAAAGTACAATGTCACATTCGTCGACGTCAAACACAGCATGCTCCATTGCACAAGTTGTGTAAGCGAATCCACGCGTTGATTCCACGTGGCTGCTTCTTCTGAACTAGTATCTAGGTAGGTGGCGTGGGGATGGTACAAGTCCTTCTTGCAAGCCGACATCGCATCAGCGTAACCCTGCCGCCAGCATCGCGCCCAGCATCATCGTGGCCTATAAAATATATAAAAAGCACTTTCTGGGTTCAGCAGTGCGCTGCGGGCCTCTGCCTCCGTCCACCCTCGCAGGATTCGCCTTCGTTTCGCGGCCATCATGTTGGAGTATACGCAGATGCGGATTGCAAGCCCCCCGCAACATGACATAGCCTCATGATGCGAAATGTCTCGTCAAAGTTGACTGCACGCCGAGAATGAACAGCAGCAGTCCTAGGGGTACCCACCTGGTGATGGTGCGGATTTCGTCGTCGAGGAGGCAGACGAGCAAAGCTCGCTGCACCTCAGCCCAGGAACTGAAAGGTGTGATGGATGATTTGGAAGAAGTGGAATATCAGTTACTCCGTCCAGAGCATCGTCCGAGGACAATGGTGGAAAAAATCGTTCCAAAAATTGAAGAATGGCGGCCGTCACGGCTACCAAACTATTCTGTATGGCGGCCAGGTGTAGACCCCCGCCTCTAAAAGGAGGACGAAGATCGCCACCGGGCACCCCATAAGAACCCTATGCACGAACTGGCCCGTTGGCTCCGAACCTTCAAAGCCCGGCCGGCTTAAGTTGATGGGTAGACCAGGCGCTCATGGCTCGAGACATCATCGAAAGGGAGACGGCACGAGCCACCATGGTAGCGATGAAAACAAGATGGGGGTAAACATGATTGGGCATCGCTTGTGAGGTAGGCATGCTGTGAGATATCCAAAAGTCATGAAGAAGAAGACGAGAAGGAGAAGAGGAGAAGAGCGGAATTCCGACAAAACATGTGAGTACTCACGGTTGTGCAGTGAGAAGGAGCTGAGAAGGACGCTCCTGACTTCTTCGAGGTCGGGCTTGAACTTGCCTTCCCGTCTCATGCATCCTGCTTGGTTCGGCCTTCTGAGAACTGTTGCGCCTGCACCTCCTGAAGAGTGACGACTTTCTAGGAACCGGTGCCTTTGAGGAAGTTCCTCAGTAGAATAGATGTAGCTGCAACCTAGTATGATGAGCGTGAGGCTTCTTTGGAAGCTGCAAGCGCTTTTTCTCAGTTTCACTAGAGAAACACCATGGACGCTCTGCAATGTGTACAGGGAAGGAGCAATCAGTGTATGTCCAGCAACACCTGTGACCTCGTGATGTCGGCAGTATCCAGGTTTACTTCGCCTTGGAGTGCAGCTTCTGGGTTGGGTCTTTCCTTTCGCTCAACTCCGTGCACAACGGTATGAATACAGCGCCATGATCCCCTCGGACTGCTTGTGGTGGTCTTCATATATACTTCGTCACAGGCATCATCGGCTTCGGGTCTGGGCGAGCAAGATGCAACTCGTTGATCAAACCACCCTGGAAGCTATGGGACTGCGCCGGCTTATACACCATGTTTTTTTCAAGCAAATTACGACAACTACCTCATATAGTTGCTTTCCGAGACGTGGTGCAGACGAACCTGCTGCTTTACAGATGTGCATGGCAAGTGAAGTCCTGTCCAGCATATGCCGTCCTCGCCTCGCACATTGGCCATTCAGAGCAAGCAGGCTCCCTTCGAATCCCACCAAAACCCACCTTCGACCATCCCCTTGGACCAAGGGCCGCCGGGAGTTGCCGTCTCTCCCGCATCGTGCACGACTCGCCGACTGACGAGGCGCGTAAAGGACAATGCAGTCTGGTTTGGGGCCCCATCTCCATGGTATTCCCATTCCGAGCCCCCCCATGTACAAACCACCCTGACCCCTGAGTCCTCTTGCTAGCGGGAGCACGGATACCAACATTCCCGACTGCATGGCATCAGCAATTGACCAGGTAGGCAACTACAGATGGTCGAGCCTCGTCGCACATCAATCTGCTGTCTCGTGGCCTCGGGGCAGTCCCTCGATTGATGTCGAGACACGCAAACTGCCGTTAGGAAACAAGTCATGTGGGCGAGGTTAGATGGATGCTTAATTATTATAATCCCCCCCTCGTGTCAAAAGCAAAATACAATGGCGATGGCGCTGAGATGTGACTCTGCCTCGTGCCCAACCGTGCCACTCGCCGTCTCGCGTCCCCTGCCTCATCTACTATGCAAGTTCGCCGCAATCCCGTACACTTCGACAACACGGTCGCCAGATGCATCCACTGATATCTTTTGATGCCAGATATCACCGTCATTTTTGTCATGCGCCCCCGCATGCTCGATTGTGTCAGCGTGGAAGATGTCTCGTGGCGTTTCGTGTTCGTCAGCCTGTAGCGCTCCAGCTGAGTGCCACCCTTCTTTTTCCAGACTTGTATGCAGAGTGGTAACGACAGCCGATGGCGATCATCTAGTTGCTGCTACCAGTGCCGTTGCCGTTTGTGGGTTGCAGAGGCACGCCGTCGAGGGGGCTGGGTGGGCCGACACGCTTCGTGCGCAGCGTCAGCGGGAAGGGGTACTCCTCAGGGTCTTCCTCCTCACTGGCAGAGTTTTGGTCAGCATCATCATTGGTGTGAAATTCGGGAGGGGGGAGAGCAAAACTTACGGCAGCTTCCAAGCGACATAGTCCTCAGTGCTCAGGCCTTCGCGGCCCTCTTGCAGGCTGGCAAAGTCACCAGGCGTCATCATGCCAGAACGGTCACGAGGAGACCCGGGCACTGAGAAAGGTCGCGAGATCTTCTGCTCGACACCGAGGATCGTGTCCTCCTCCTCGTCACCCTGGAACGATCCAGGATAGGCCCGGCGCAGCGCCAGTTGGCGCGCCTTGACGTACTCCATGCCCATCCTCTTCCAGTCGAGCAGGTCGCTGAGACGCTCCGTGCGGTTACGTTGATTGATACGCTGGCGACGGCTCTTCTGGCAAAAGTCGAACATGTGCGAGGTCAACGAGTTGACCGAGTCATCGACACCCTTCATCCGGCGGTCAACAATGTAGATACCGTAATCGCTCGAGTTCTCGATGAGCTCCTCCATGTAGCAGCCAAAGCCAGACAGGTTCGTGGTAATGCTGGGAACGCCCATGACCGTGCACTCGGCCGGGGTGTAGCCCCAAGGCTCGTAGTAGGATGCGAAGATGCCCATGTGCGTGCCACGCACAAACTCGTCGTAGTCCATGGGCAGGACGGGGTTGGCAGAGTTGAGGAATTCTGGGTGGAAGACAACCTTGACTCGGTCAGAAGGGTGGTTGAAAAGCTGGACCCGACGAATCTGGTTCAGGATAGGATCTTCGCTATCGTTCAGCATGTTATGGGTGACGATGGGAGGCAGGCCGTGCCTCTTCATCGCGAAGAGGCGTCTCCGCAGGAGGACGCGGTCAGCACCGGTGATCAGCTCCTTCTCATCGGGGAGCGGGTCGCCGTCGTGCCACTTAAGAGAGCGCTCGAAGATGCGCTTGCCAATGCCACGCTCGATGATGTCAACAGTGTCCCGCAGCGACTTCATGACGGCCTGGCCCTTGAGAGCCTCGACAGTCAGCGATGTCGTCTGGGCAGGCATGATGATGAAGGCCACGACCGTCATCTTGCTGCCAGCGCTCTTGAGGCGGTGGTTGAGGCGTGCCAGCGACTCAACAAACATGTCAACACCCTTGTTCCTGAACTCGTAACGACCGGCCGTGAAGAAGTACAGCGTGTTCTCCGGGTCGAAATCATAGTGGCCGTAGAAATGGCCTCGCACAAATTCGTGAATCTTCTCCTTCGCCTGCTGATGCAAGTTCTGGAATTCGTGGACAGCCGAGAACTTGGTGACGTTGAGGCCGTTGGGAAGAACGCCGTCAGGCTTGCGCTTGAGCAGGTGCTCGCTCTCGTACGCTGTAATGTGGGAGACAGTCGTGAATACATCGCAGGCGTGGGCAGCAGCTCGCTCGATGCAGTACCTGTGGTAGATACCGCGCTTGCCAGCCTCGGCGTCCACATCGAACCACTGCAGGTTGTTGTAAAAGTCGACCGAGCCAGCACAGAGGTAACGACCAAGCAGCGTGGCGTGAGTGGTGAAGATGGTGGTCACATCAATGCGGCGCTTCTTGCACAGGGGCAATGCAACACCGGCGAGCCACTCGTGGAAGTGCGCAATAACGGCCTTCTTCTTCTCGTGGCAGACAAACTGAACAAACGATTAGCACAACAACAGGTGGTTGATGACACTTGCACCCACCTCTCCGAGGAACCACGCAACCAGGTATCCGAAAACGATGGCCTCATTCGTCTCGTCGTCATTGGGTGGCGAGGGAATGCTGGCGACGTTCCACAGGTCCGTCTTCCACTCATCAAGGAACTTGTAAGCGGTCTTGGTGTCGAACAGGAGCACTCGGGGTGCGCCCTCAATCAGCCAGCGACCATACAGGATGCCGATACCGCGCTCCTTCATGGAGTTGATCGTGGCAGCAAGCTCAGGAACGGTAGGCTCGAGCTCCTCGACTTCGACGGCGGCCTACGCTTGTTAGCAGCTGGAACAGAGAGCTCCGAGTCGAAGCACCATACCGATTGGTGGTTCAGCGGACCGATGAGGGTGTAGCGCTCGCCATATTCGGCTGTTGTGACGGGGGCCTTTGACTTGATCACAGAGTAGATGCCGCCAACTAGTGGAAGAATGTCAGCAGCAGCTCGACAGCAAGGTAACTCGTACTGCTCGAGAGCTCGGATACTCACCTCGGTGAGCAACTTCCGTTGCGATTTCGAAGAGGAGATGATCCTTCACCTCACGGGCGGAACGCTCGTCTTGCGACATGGCTACCTGTCTGCGCGCTGTGGTCTGGGATGCTAGAGAAATGGACGGACAGTCAGTTGCTGTGACACCAGGCAACTGAGGCGCGACGGCAGTTTGGATTGGTGACATGGAGGAAGGCCAATGGACGGGGAGAGGCATTGGGGCGCGATGGGTAGGTGGAGGAGGAGCAGGATTCAAGAGGGGAGCGTTCGGTTGTTTGATGGCACGTCAGGCCACGCCGAGCGACGTACCTGTGACGAGGTGGCTCAGGACGTTTCCTGAAAGCTAGAGCTACGTGAAGCTCCCGTGATGCTTCGGTAGCTGCCGTGGCGAGGGGCGGTGGCAGGTTCGAGTGCGATTGTAGGAGGACACAAACAAGGTGGGAAGAGGTGGAAAGCCAGCTGAGGAAGGCGGGTTGCGGGGGAGGGAGAGGGCAGGTTTTAGGGTGATGGGGACGATGTCCGCGGAGCAGCCAATGTCAGACAGAATCAGTCGAAGGGTAAGGTAAGGTGGTGAGAGAGAAGAGTGAGCGGAGGGTCCGTCGGGAGCACCTGGTGCATGCAGCTGGACGAGGAGGTGTTGTGGGAGCAACGGCGTCAGGTAGCAAGTAGCAGGTAGTAGGTAGCAGGTAGTGAGCGGCTGTGGTGGTGGTGTGCGAGTATGCCTGCCACCACTGTTACGTCGGTGCTGCTGCCCACCTCATTGTCTGACTATCTGCTCCTGGCCGACCCAATTCTCGATCCTCCCGATCCAATGGCATCGACCCGGGGGGCCCTTGAAGGCCAAGGGGAGGGGGGGGCAAGCTGTCCGGCTGCACTAAGCGTGGAACAATCATGGTGGGTATCCTACAGGGGTCGAGAGCCATTTCAGGCCGGGGCTTTTGGGCGCTGAGCAACTACATTCATGGCGGGAATCCACTCCAGCCGGCCGACTCTTGGTCGATACAAGTCTGGGCCTCCAGCTTGTCGAGCCTGTCGAGGTTGTCAAGCCTTTTTTTCTCTCGCTGGGTCCGAGGGGCCTCGTGTTGACCATCACTGCCCCAACGAGCTTCTTCATCGTCCTGTCGGGGCGAGATGCGTCTACAGCCGCCACTTTGGGCGCGACCAACGCCGAATAATCCCGCGGCAACACCTCGTCGCATTGAGTAAAAGGGTTGAGGAACTGACAATTCCCTCAATATTGGGATGAAAATCTTTTTCATGCCCTTTTCCTTTCCCTTGCGACGCCGAGAATAGCAGCGCCGGCGTCTCTTCCCGTGGCTCCTGCAATCTTGATTTTCCTTCGAGGGTGGGATTCCGGAGACACGGACATCGGGACATGGCGCAAAGAAAAAATCTCGATGGGAAATCCTCAGGCCTGCCTACCTCCCTAGGTAGGTACCTAGGTAGCTGCCCAGGTAGCTGAACGGTGCCTACGAACCGTGGAATGGGCAATCTCCAGGCCAGTGGGGGGTCCCCCAGCCTTCGCGCGGGAGGAGCTTCAGCACAGTCCACCCTCGCTTGGGTGTGCGCGCGAGTGTGCGCGAGGGTGCCCTGTGCTCATCCATCCGCAGTGGGCTGCCTATTCGCCCATTAGACAGTATGACGACAATGAATGCGGGGTTGGCTGAGCTAAAAACCTCCCGGCAACAGCGAACGTGACGAGGTTTGCAGCGAGCATTCGGACGGCTCCTGATGGCGACCAATCAAGCCTGTGTCACCAGACCACCAACCTGGGGGGGCACTCCGGGGTCTCCAACCCGCCCAACGCAAGAAGGGTCTCTGGTCCTACCCTACTGGTCGACGCTCCAAGGTTCGGACGGAGGCGAAGAAAGGAAGGAAAACACGTTTTGCTACGCCAGAACGTGGCATACCGACGTGACCAATGCGAAACCTTGCTGGCAGAGAGTTTTGTCTGACGTGAGCTCGAGAAGGGTGTATCTGGAATGCCTTGCTAGCCTTTTTCTTCTCTTTTCTTTTTCTTGTTAATGTCTTGGTCTCTCGACAGCCTCGCCCATGCTGCGATCCGACAGTTGCGCAAGTAAGACTTTCAGTAGGGATGAATGCGCCGTGGTGGGATCACAAGGAATGCCTGAATCGCAGCTCAAGCCACGCCTCGCTCAGGCCGGCACTACATTCCGTGCCCCCCATGCCGCAATGACCAACTCCCATGACACCCTGACCAGTTGAGGAAAGAAAACACCACGCACGCATCCCAGATCGTAGAGAAAAGCTGCTATTGGACTTGCCTTTCGACGCAGACTGACAAGATTTCTTCGACAGCTGACAAGCGCAACGACCTAGCTTACAGGGATCGTTCACGCATCTGCACGCACAACGTCATCTGTCGTGGACCCTGCCTTGCCTTGCAATTCCATTGGGACGTCTCATTGGCTAGGGCAATGAATGCCTCTCGAAATAACTAAATCGAGGCCGGGACGTTATAAGACATTGCCTACATCACAACCCAGCAATAGAGAGTCATCGTGTGTCTTAACAATAGGAAGAATGTAGATTTAAAAGATGGGTTGGCCCATGAAATTAGTGGGTGTATGACATGGCAGCCGCATTTCAGGCTTTGAGTGAGGAGGTTTCACTTGGGAGCTTATTCACCATCGATCGCCTGGATGCTGCCGCGTGCAATTTGCACTTCTCGCTTTAGCTAATGTGATATCGACAATGATCATATGGGGCTATCCTCTCCCGGAACTCTTTATACTGAAGGCGCTCTGCCTCATTCCTCCTCGATTTTCAGAAGTTTTGGCTGTCCGTATCGTTCGCAGGTCACCGTAAGGGAATGCAGGAGCAACGAGTGGCCGAGAGCTCTGACTTACTGGCTAGCTGTAGAGTGACTCTAACATATGTCAGGCGTGTGTCCGGAATTCCTGAGCGTCTGCCCTGCCGCCGAAACTAGTCAAGGGTAATGAGTGTCGTTCCAGGCTGGCGAACACGGCTTTCAAAGTCAGGCCCTCCAGCACAATCAGGTTTGAAAAGATCGTGGTTCCGAGAGCTTATTTCCGTTTGGCTCCTCGGACGGCGACCCCCGGAAACGACTATGTTCAACCCGCTCCACCACAATGCTTCCTCACAGACACCTATCCCCATCAACAGCAAGCTAGCTTTCCAGTTTGAGGAACAGCAGTTGTACGTAGCGTTTCGCGGACGGGTCTCCCAGATGATCCGTCGCTCGATGGTAAGGGTGATATGAGTCAGGATGAGCGGACACAGCAACTCGTCAGATAGCGTCCGGGGCGTTTTTGAGGACTGGTTAATTGGCTCCACTTTAGAACTTTGCACCACAGAGAGGGAAGCAAAGGCCGGTTAGGCGCATACCTTCCCTATATACGATTTCCTTCGATACCTATTGGCCCACCCCCAAACAGGAATAGTACATAGACCATTGCTTGCTGAAGCCCCTCAGCCCCGGCGCTTGGATGGTCACATGACATTTCCAAGCGCCAGCGCCCAGTTCTAATCCTGCTGATCAAGGTTTTTCGTCAGTGGCCGGCCAGTAACTTCTACATCAACAACCTCAATCCCGCCTGACGCTGACTATCAACACCCCTTGCGCCTCCGCCACCGGCATTCGCAATAACCCATTCATCGCGATGCTGAAACATCTTCTTTCTTGCGCTGGCTGTCCGTTAGACTGTACTGACGGCAAGGTCCGCATTTACTGGCCTGGCAAATGATCCAAATCACTACAGTAACTCTCCCAGTTACGACTCCGACCATCGTATTATCCGTGGCCTATCCTATACTTGACAACACCAGATCGGTGGCGCAACATCAAAGCTCTACAGTATTGCGGCGGTGACACAGGTTTATAATTTTCGAGGACCAGTGCTTCGTGCAGCAGCCTCTGTCGATGACTTCACCGCCACTCCGCAACATCATCGTACATGGACCTGTACGATATCGTCTGTCAGACCACCAAAACCTGCCCTGCTTGAGACAGCATCATTTTGGGTGCCTTCACCGATGCGCGCCGTCGCTGCGAATCCGTGTCCGGGGTTTTGGGGGCGGAGGATGATCATCATCACGGAGGGGATTACCCAGCAGTTGTGGGCGCTCGCGCTGGCGAAATCCTGCGCCATGACAACGCTTGTCGTGCATGCTACTGGTTGAGCTTCTGCCTCGATTCTGATCAACGTCGAATGTCAAGTTGGAGCATCTGATGTTGCCTCCAAACGATGGCTAGGTGCCCCTCGCTTGGTCCGCTTGCAGATTGAAATTCAGCGACGGTGCGGTCGAAAGTCCACCCAATCCCTGCCCTCACGATAGTTCCGATCGGAGACGCGGCCTAAGTCCCCGTCCGGTCACCGCGGTCGTGCGCGAGGCAACGGGCACGCGTCGTTCCCGAACCCTGCAGTTTGCCTAGGTTGTCGGCATCACTACTGATACTGATTCTCACAAATGGGGGGTGGGCAGGTATAGCACGACGGCGCTGCCAAAACGAGTGTTTCGCCGGTCTCAGCACGATCGGGATCGAGTGGTGATTTGGATTTGGACCGACTCATGCAGAATGCATCTTGTCGAATCGAGATGCACTCAGGAGAGACTGGCTACGACTATGTGTCTTGAGGAGGGAGCTCTCCTGCTTCGTTCTCAGCGTTGCTGCAGGTGCAGGGAGTCGATGTTCATGAAGCACACAAGATCCAGGTACCTAGGCCCCTGCAAATCGAAGCAGTCGTAAGATGAGGGAGCAGATGGGGAGCAGCAATTAATAGGCTTGATCAGATACGGCACGGATGGAGCTGTGCATTTCGCAACCACATAGATAGACCTGAAGGGGCCAAGCACAACGGTCCCGCGCGGAGGACAGTTGGGATTCGCTGAACACCTGGTACGGTGGACAGCCTTGAAAGTGGTATGCGAGTGCACCGCCTGCTCGCCGATCTGGCTTGGGAGAGAATTTCTCTTCAGTTGCCGGAAGTTGACAATATGCTGAATGCTCGGGACGGCTTCGTGTACCTTTTCCATTCCAGTTTGGAGGGAAAGTTCACGCCAGTCCCGTGACCAAGATACTCTTGGTTCTCAGCC